CCGTCCAGAAGCCGGCGACTGATCTGCCTCACCCGGGAAGAGCGCAATGATGGTGCCAACTTGGGCCAGTGAAGCAACGTCCTCCACAACTAGACTGAACAACAAAACGACAGCAACTTGTCTGTTCCCCTTCCCCCCAATTCCCCAGCACTGTTCCCATCCCCCAATTCCCCAATAAAAATCTTAAAAATAAATAAATAAATAAATAAATAACTTTGTGCACTTCATCGAATATAGTGGTGTTTTCCTGTGGCTTTCCATTAATTTCTTCTTAAATATTTACAACTACTCTACATGGTAGGTAGTATCATCCTAGTTGTGAAGATAGAAAATCCGGTAGAAATGAAAGAAATGCAGAGGAAAGGTGTGGAGACAGGAGACAGTGGGGGGTGGGGGGAGGAGCACTGGGCCAGGGGTGAGGATGCCTGCCCCCCGGAGTGGCTGACCTGCCATGCAGCACAGGCTTCCCTCATTGCTTTAAAACTTCTTTCATGAGTTGGCTGTGTATTTTTAAAACATTTATGTAATATAGCCACATCTTGCAGCCATTATGTCAGATTGTTAATACGTACCATATTAATCTTTCTCATCTTTTTTTTCATTCTTTACTTTAAAATTCCCCTATGGCATCATTTTTGGCATATTCTAAATTTGGGAGATGTCAGGCCACACATTTGGAAAAAACATGTACTCTCGCTGTTTTAAAAAAAATTGAGCAAAACCACTAATTAAAAAATATACAATGTCCTAAGAATCTAGTAAGATTCGTATAATTCACAGATGAAACTATAAAGAAGAGTGATGTGCGCAAATAAAACTTCTCATGTGTTCTGTTTTAACAATATAGTTTTGAGGGATTTTTTTTTCTCAAGGTGAATTTGAAGGAAAAACAAAAAGCAAAACACATACTCTAAAATTCATAATTCTGATCCTCAACACGATTTCTAACACTGGGCAGGAGGAAGGGAGAGAAGGAGGGAGGGAGGAAGGGAGGGACTGTCACACCATTCTCCAAATGTTCTGGTTCCTTCAGAGTCCCTATTGGAATAGCGCCTCCAGCACAGGGTCTGTTTTCCATGCCCTGCTTCTGTCACTGACTCTATCTTCCTATTCTGCCTTTCAGATTAAAAAAAGAAAGAGAACCGGCCCTTAGCTTTCCAAAAGAATTTCCTGTCCTGGCCACGCTCCCCCAAACCGCGAGGCCTGCCCATCCCACTTGTGACCTGGCTTTGAGGAATCCACTGACTCACTACAAATGAGAAAACCCATCCTGCGATTTCTGGCAGGTTACACTGTGCCTTTCCACTGACACAGACCGCAGACCCTGGCAGGAGAGGAAGGCGTTTGCCCTCTGCCTGCTCTAGGGCGCTGGTGGAACCGCCAGCATTGAAGACAGGCCCAGCTCAGCCAGCACCAACGGACAGCCTGTGGGGCGGTGCTGGGGTGCTGTGAGCTCACTCAGCACAGGCACTGGAGTCTGTGCCTCCCTTACCCTCACTCGTGTTAGCGCTGCCTGGGTATAAATGCCATCCAGTTCCATGGCCAAGGAAAGCTGGACAACTTTACACAAGAGCAATGGGCTTGCAAGGCTTTACCAGTAGTTTGGTGTCTTTGATGACGCAGAGTAGCTTGGTCCACTGTCCGAAGCGCTTCTTCCGCAGCAGGAAGGCACAGATCTTGGCATCCTTTACCAGGTCCATGGAGGCCTCCTCTGAGGGCCACTGGTGTCGCGTTTTCTTCCCCTTTCCATCCTCCTCCTCTTCATCATAGGATTCATAAGAGCTACTCATTGCATCCGAGTCATAATCTGTCAAAATAACAACAGAAAAGTAAGGACCTGGTTACAAAAATCTTATCTGGAAGCCTACCCATGGACTCAAAAGTCATTGTTACTGTATCAGTCAATGAGGAAGGGGCCTCTACATTCAGTGTGCTGGGGAAACATTAACAAAAATAAGAAAAAAAGAACTCCAAGACGGGCAGTGGGAACTCAATGGAGAGTTTTAAACTAAAGTGACTAAAAATCGTGTACTAAGAAAAACCATTTCTAAACTCTGTCCGGTCATGGCCATGCACGCTGCAGACCCTGCATGGCTGAGCCCTCGCCGTGCTCTTGTAGGCGGGGTGAGCATTACCCGTGCTCTGCAGTGCGTCCCACCTCCCGGAACCTGCCCAGAGCGGTCCCCTGCTTCCCCTCCCACACCTTCCTATTATAATTCCTTCTAGTCTGCAATGGCCTACTCCTGCTGGCAGTGTCAGTGCCCAAGCCCCTCCTAACGTCCAATATCTGACCTGAGGCCACCCTCTCTTGGGGTCACCCTTGGGGTTTTCAGAGACATTTACACCCATCCTTCGCACTGCATTCTGCCATTCACTGACGCTTAAATACCGGGTTACTTTAGTTTCCCGCATACATCACACTCTCTCTTACCCTCGGGTCTTTGCACATGCGGCCCCTCACACAAGCATCCTGTTTGTCCCACTCAGTCTCCTGCCTCTGCTGGGACAAATGCTCTCATCTTTCCAGATGTAACCTATTGGTGCCTCCGCCACAAGCCCTCCCTGATTCACCAAAGCTGGCTGCAATGGACCAAATCATGTGTGCCTTCCCCCCCCCCCACCCCACCATTCACATGTTGAAGCTCTAACCCCAATGTGCCTGTATTTAGAGAAAGCTTTTTGGAGGGAATGAAGATTAAATGAGGTTATATGGGTGGGTGGGGTCCTATATCTGATAGGATTGGTGGCCTTATAAGAAGAGGAACAGAGATTGCACACTCTCCAGGCTGTGAGAGTACAGGGAGAAGTCCTAAGCCAGAGGGAGGGCTCTCACCAGATGCTGATCTCAGCCTTCCAGCCTCCAGAGCTGTGAGAAAGTAAATGGCTATCGTTTCATCACCCTGGCTGTGGTTATTTGGTTACAGAAGCCAAGCTGACTAAGACACTGGGTGAAATGCCCTCCTGGGTGCTTCTGCACCACCCAGCAGGAACCATGGCCCACTGCACTCTCACTGCTGTCTGTCTGTCTCCCACATCAGGCCGTAAGCAAGGGCCTGAGGGAAGGGAAACCACCTTGGTGGAGGTGATCGTTGCAGCAGGTAACGAGGTACCAGGCACAGGGTGAGTGCACAATATCTGTAGAAGGTAGAACTGTTAGATGAACTTACATTATGCCTGCGAAGCCCTCCTAAGGACAGCTGGCACATTCAAAGAGTTTAATAAACATGAGTGACGATCAGTATTATGGCTAATTTGGGCCCTGCTGGATAAGCTCCACAAGGCTGGGTCTGATCCTCTCTGCGTTCCCCTCACCCCCTGCCAAATCTGGAAGATATTCATTTTTCAAACATATTTGAGGACAGAACACCTAAGTGATAAATGAATGATAGATAAGGAGAAACTGCAGCTGAAGCAATCGGTTGCACCATTCAGCAAAAACGGCAGAAATACAGACCTTCTGGGTCAGAAGTCACCAGAAACTGAATTATAATTGGTACTCAGTTAGTGATGCTTGCATTTTAATTCCCTCACAAAGCCATTACTAAGAGGGGGGGAAAGAAAGGCTGGAAGTTGGAGCTGAATTTTAAATCATGAAAAAGACGTCAAGGAAGGATTTTGAGCAAGACACTCCGGTAACCAAAGAGGTAACTGTGTAATAGCATTGAGAACGGGCTGAAGTGGGGGTGACTGAGAGACGGGGACCAGTTCAGAGGCATCTGCAATAATGTTGATAAGAATGCTGAGAGGGCACCACGAGGGATGTGAAGAGGGGGATTTGGGCGGAGTCACGTGGTTACACAGTGACTGCGAAGGGCAGTCCAGACGCCCCGGGCAGCCCTTCTGGCCTGCGGAGAGGAACAGAGGGAGGGAAGGACTAGCTGTGACCATGGTGGTGGCAGAACTGAGGACTGTCCTAGCTCTGAGCTTTTCTTCCTTATTGTGATACGGATATATTTGTGTATGATAAACGAATTCTTCTTTTCACCTCTCCCATTCCCCTCCATCCAACATGCTAACCGTAAGCAGCTAAGCTTGGATCTCAGTCCTTAAGTTACAGGCTCTCGATGGGGAGTATGACTCAGCCACAAGAGAATGGATGTCCGCTCCGTTACCCCCACCCCCCAAAGCAGATAAATGGACTTTGTATCCTCTGGGGGAGTTAGGGAGTTTTCAGTTGTGCAGGCGGCCGTTGAACCATGTTATGCTGAACCCTGCTTTTGCTGCTGTCTTTATCTGGAAACGCAGTGTGGTTAAGAGAGGTGCACACGGATGCCAAATCAACACAAGATAAATGGGGGTGGTTTTCCACCGTATCAACTTAGCAAGGCTGGAATTACAGCTCCCCAAATTCCCTTTCTTGGACGGCTCTGGGTGAGGCGGGCCACAGAAGCAATCTGGCAGCCCCTGGGAGCTGGGCAGAGGGGCAGCCGCTGCCATGCGCTCTGCAGGCCAGTGCACACGCAGCACACACTGGCGCTAACCTGCTGGCCCTCCATGTGGGCATGGGGCCGGCGCTGGGCCTGCAGCTCCTGCAGGGTCTCCTCTGAGGCAGGGGCATGCGGCTCTGTGCCACGGGTTCCAGCTCCCCCAGCTGGTCACCGGGTTTGGAGGAAGCGGGGGATGAAAGTGGGCTCCCATCTGGCCTTCCTCTTCCCCCATCCTCATTGGGCTGTGCTTCCCAATGACCGTCCCACCAGACAGAGGCAACAGCCTTGCGGAGGCTCCTTCACGGGTCCCCACATTGCACAGGGCCTTGTCCCCACAGTAAGCCCTTTTCTCCACGACACTCCTAGTGGTCCTGCCTCTCTCACAAAACCGGACCTGATGCAGGTTCCACAAATCTGTCACAAAGTCCACTAGTAACTGAAGCCGCGTGTCCCTGGCCTGATCTGCGGGTCAGTTCACTGCCACTGTTCTTCAGAGCAGGTCATTTCACCACAGACATCTGATCAAAGAAGCCACAGGTGCTGTCACCGCTGACTCACTGTTCCCCAGCAGGGTTCCTTCCATTACTCTTTCTTCTGGAATTAGTTCAACAAAAGTTGCCTCTGGTCAGCAACTAAGAAATGGCTTCTCTGAAGAACAGGACATTATACATTGGCTCCTCAGGCTGAAAATTACCAAAAGCCCCAAATGTCAAACAAAATTACTATCAATTTCTAACCATGAAGTATGGTGGGGAGAGGGAAGGAGGCTGGGAGAAGGCTAGAACCCAACATTCCAAACCCTGGGAAGCACCCTCACCAAAAAATTTCTTTTACTCATAGCTATTAGAAAGAAAGGAGTCCAGTGAAGTTTTGAAATACAATCAAGCCATTTAAATTTTATGCGTGTTTCTAATTAATTTACTATCTTCTGAAATAGTGAACACTTAGAAATTACTTGAATGCATTTTTCCCAAGTAGTTCTTAAATGAAAGAGAAATTAAAATATTTATAGATCTCAGAACCAGTGCTCCCTGACCTCCTTACCAGAACTGTCCCTTTTCTCATTCAGAGCATAACAAACGCTTATTGCTATTGGACTTAGTCTGTATTGGGAATGTTCTGGGAGCTGGGAAAACCAGTGTGAGTGAGCTGGGAAAGGCCCCTTGCTGTCCAGGGGTCTCCAGCCCCCAACCTGGGTTCAGCACATCCCTCTCCACATTCAGGAAACACACTGGGGTGGGGTGCGGGGTGGGTATGCTGTAACACTCAGGTTAGCTTCTGCTTGGCTGAACTTGCTCTGCTTGTTTACTGCTGGGGAGAGAAAGAGCAGAAAACTCAGCCTCTGTGTGGCAGAGACTCGGGCAGCATGACAAGAACACGGGGCTGGGGGAGACCGTTTCCACAGGAAGACAGGTGAGGTGACCAGCACGCCGTGGACGGAACTGCGCTGGCCGCCCGGGACCACACGAGCAATCACCCTGCGTTCCATTTCCTGTTGGAAGCACAGCCAGCTGGGCGCCCTCAGAGGACACGTGCTCAGACCTTCCCCTTTATTACGAGGCAGCAACACACTGCTAGACAGAATATCGAGAGGAGAAATGCAGCCAACGACCCAAAAATAAATTCCAGAGACAGTTAGGTTTTCGGTGTCAGCGTGGTATTCTTTATCTGAATTTGCAAGCTGGGTGCTAACAAGAGGCACCTCTGAGAGCCCTCAAGTGGGCAGCTAATGCGAGTCACATCGAGACCACTCTACCTTAGGTCCAAAGGTTCTGGTAAAACCTGTAGGAATTATTAAAAAAGGAGAAACAAAAGTCTCTGACTGAGATGCCTATCTGTTTTATGCCCACTGATTTTCAGCCCGGTAGACACCTCTCTCCTCATGGCACAATGAAGGCAGCTGAGGGGGAGGGAGGAGACACCCTTGTCAAAGTGGGGGGCACGCACCCATAAGAACTTGCCATGAAAAGTCACTTCCCTCTGACAAAGGGAACCCATTTCATTGGCATCCATGTTTCCACAGCTATAATAAGATTCCACTAATTTTGAGTCACAACAATCTGAATTCCCAAAGATGCTCGGAAGGCACTTTTGATTTTTCAAAGCTCTCTCTCTTTTGCCAGTTTGGGTTCAAAGCTGAAGTCACTTCCATTTGCACAGTGTTTTGGAATGTTCTATCCCCGCACCCATAAAGAGGGCTAAGTCTCCCAGTCCCCGCGAGTCAAGAGGCCGGCTAGTCCACCTGACCCCGACACTCACTTGAGGTGATGTATTCTGGAGCTTTCCCAGGGCTCAGCGGCACAGCTTCCTCGTAATAACCTTCTGGGAGAGAGGACGTCGGTAACGGTGGCGGCCCACTGTCAGGAGGCTAAGGAAAAAAGGGGAGAAACAGCGTAACTAGAAGAAAACGGCGTATTTTCATGTGTTGACCAGCACTTTCCTCTTTCCTTTGTAAAGTCTCTGGCAAGAAAGAACATTATCCCTCGAGTTCAGGTGCTGACTGGCTCTCCACTACTTTCCTGCTCATGTCCACCCGCAGCCTGGCCCTGGCCACATGCCACTCCGTTCGTACAAGCCGCTGGCAGTCACCAGACGCATGGCCCGTCTCCCGTGAGCACCCTGTACACACCGCTTGGGGGCACAAAACTCCCCTTCTCCCAAGTAGAATGGGCTAACATTCCCGAGCAAGACACGTGCCTTCACTAGGTCCCCACAACTCTCCCCACACCACTGACCTCCGGGGTCTCCGCGGCCCACATCACCGTGCAGGGAGCTCCGGGTGCACAGAAACGGCTCAGATTGCCAGAGCTCATCCAGAGTAATGCACCCGCTAAGTGGTGAGGAATAAATGCGGGTGCTTTGCCCGGCATCTCACCATGTTCCTAACATGTGCCAGGGAAACTTAGAAAAAAGGAATAAAAAAGAAGTTACCTAGGAGACACTCTCTAAAAGAAACTGGAAATTTTCTTCTGAGAAGGAATCTGCTTGTTACTAAAACCAATCCCATCAGTTTCTTGTCAAACTCGGAGATGAAGGCACTCAGGATTTGATGCCGAGTCTTTAGAACACGGAAGAGCTGGCAGGCTCAGGACTACCCAGTCTACGCAGCCATCAGGCCCCAGCTCCTGAGGGCGCTAACACACACCAGCCTCCCTTCCTACAAGCTCTGGAGGTTTGCTGGTTCTGTCACACACTGGACCTCCCGCCGAAGGGAAGGGTCAAAGGGAAGGGAAGCCAGCATCACTCAGCCAAACACCTGCCCTTGCCCGGCACTGGGCTAAGCGCCTCGGTACTGGTTACAGGTTCCACCAGTCAATGCATGCAGGATGCTTCCAGGGAGATAGTACATCACCTTAAGTTTCACAGGTACAGAAAGTGAGCTCAGTCTCACGAGCAGTCTCAGGGCCTGCTCTAAGTCAGACGCTACTCCATGACAGACTCCAGGTCTGTCTGCGAAGACGTTTCTTATGTTCATATTTCCTCTCTCTCTCTCTCTCTCTCTCTCTCTCTCTCGTAACTCATTCACACTGCCTATATTCTGTGAACAAACTGGAAAGATGTCACTGAGAATGGGACAGAACAGAGGCCCCACACTGAAGATCTACCAAATTAGGTTCCAAGTAGAACAAAGTTCCACAGAAATCAAGGGTGTTTTTTTTGTTTTAAATATGTTTATAAAGTCTCCAGAATGTAAAATTCCACTGCTTTCCATGGAACTCAGCTCTGACTCCAGGAAGTCCTCTGTGAATGACTAATCACCAGCATGCATTCAAGCCACCCCTTCCTGGGGCCAAGGTCATGTGCACCATCCCTCCTGGACTTGAAGGCTGTCATTTCCCCCACCACCCCCAAGCCCAGTTCCCTCACTAATCACTGACCCCCCTGCTTCCCTCTCCCGTGAATGGCTTCCGTCATTCTGCGTCACATGGGGCCACAGCCAGGTCACTCATACTTTCTTGAAGAGGCAGCGCTTAAACGAAACTGGACCCACCAGGCTCAGCCCCAGGCCAGGTCTGAACAGGAACCCATGCCCAGGTGAAATCTCTACTTGTTGCTTTTGGAAAAGAGCTGTCTGATTCTGAGTGTCTTTATTCATGAAATGGAGGGTGTTTCAACTTCCTTTTAGGATGTTGAAACAGTCAAATTTGTCATCCTGGGGAAGCATTGTGAGTAGCTGAATCAAACCAATGAAACAGCACAGACTCCCTTCCCAGTGCTGCCAGTAACACGGGCATGTTAGGTGAGCTGCTCACTGTCGTAGCTGATGGGGTCTCTCAACAGAGACTTCCCAGCCCTGCTGCTGGTCTTATATTAGGCACTCCTGTCAGTGGCTATGCCCTTAGATCCAGTAATTCCACTTCTATTTATGTTCGGTCAAAGTCTGTTCAGCAAGATCTAAGAACGATCTCAACGTTCCCCGAGAGAAGCCTACCTAGATACACTGACACATCCCGGTGTAGGCGTCTCAAAGGGTCATGCTTATCTACAGCCAGTCACTGGGAAATCCCTACTAGATGCTGCTATGTGAAGGAAAACAGGTGCACTGCATGCCCTGCACGTAACATGTGTTATACTTACACATGTACAAAGACAGGGTCATTCACCAAAGCGTTAACACACAGTGGCCTCGTTTTTTACACATTATCTGTACAGCTTGGATTTTCTACACAGTATTTGTCATTTTTACAAATCAGAAAAAATTTAACTATTTTCACTTTGAGGCAATACCCCTCAAAAAATAATACTGCTACAGGAGCACCCTCTCTCTCTCCAAGAAGGATCTGCACACCACCTACCCTTGAAATTCTGCCACAGGGTCTCAGACACTTTGGCAGAGGTATTATGGTTTGTTAAATGTGGTGGACAGGCTGGAAAGAGGTACCCCAAAATGCTTTCTGAGGAAAACCTTCTTTCAGGTCCTTTCCGATAGGTAAGAATTCACGAAATCACAATTAACAGGAATTTTTAAGGGTACACAGCAGGGAAGGAAGGCAGGTTTCCAACAGGGATCATGGAAAACCAGAGGACAGGCAGGAAACGAGAGCAGAAGGGAGACGACGACGCTCAAACACTCGGTGTGCCTTCCATGGACGTCCCCCTCGTCCTGGGTCTGTGCAACCTTCCGTACCTGAGTCCTGATCCCCTCGCTTGGAAACGGTGGTGCTGGGTCATGACCAGCTCTGGTGTCCGTCCTGACTCTCAGGTTCTAGTATTCTTATGAAACCAGCTTTACCTGTTTTGCAATTTTAGTGAGAGCTGTGTCCTCACTAAATGATAGATGACATTCCAGTCTCTGGCCAGAGCAGGTACTTGACATGTACCTGTAAAAGTAACACTGCACTCCGACCAGGGCATTCCTCTCACTGGATTTCACAACTTTCACTCAGTTTCAGAAGAGACCCAGCCTCTGCAGGAAGCTCTAACACCATCTTGCATTCATCATCAGTGGTTTCCTGGGCTGGCTCTCACAAAACACATGCTGATAAAATACGGGCCTGAAATCGAACCACACAGCCTCCTTCAATGCTTCAAAAGAAAGATGAGAAGCTGTTTTCCTCCAAGAACAACTGACCTTTGCTCTAGACATAAGAGATGGAAGTGGCACAGTGCCAGCCACAAGATACCTTTTAAAGTCACCAAAATATTTCTCCCTCAAGTTAATACTTAAGTGAAAGTCACTTTTTAGTTTAGGAAATCTTATCTGCCTTAAGGCATTGTAAATTTCTCCCTTAAGGGCTCCATGTCTTGTTAGAGCAAACCGGTCCTTACAACTGGATAGGAGAGTAATCCATGGGCTCGCTTGGCTCACAACACTAGCCTTGATCTAATTCCCATCGTTTTGGAAATAAAAGCCCATTAGTCTCTGCCTTTGCTAGGAAAAGCCTCACAGAGAATTCTTTTCCTGTTACTACTAATAAATATTATGTTTATGTAACTGTATGGTATAAATATAATTATTATTGTTATTACTATTATTTCAACAATATGACAATAATAACCATTATTTACTGTTTGCCTACCTTGTGTCAGACATTGCTCTGGGATAGTCTGTATATATTTTCTCTTGATCAGAAAATAACAGAGATGTTGGTATTTTGATTATGCTTTTACAAATGAGGAAACTGAGGCTCAAGAGATGAAAGACCTTGCCCAGGGTCCCACAAGCTCAGAGATTAGGGGAGAAGCCGTAGAAAGTCAGCCAGAGTCGGCACCGATCACTGAGCCAGAAGCTTCGAAACAGCAGGGACGCCATCTCTGTGTCACGACTGACTCCCTGGGCTCCTTCCAGTGTGGGGCCCAAGCAGAACCGGAGTTGGAAGGAACTAGGGAGAACCAGCCCACTAAGGCTACTGGGCCCACACCGACTGTGTCCCCATCACACAGTACAACCGATCCAGCATTTCCCAAGCGAGGCGCGCGTTTCTGTACCATCTGCGTCTCGCCCAACACCTTTCACACCTTCCCCTTCTCCTAACTCGCACTTGGCCTCTTCTGCTCCCCACCACCTTCCTCACCCCACTTTATTACTTAGTCCTTTGCACCAGTAACACCAATAGACTGAGAGCTGATTTCAACAGAGAACAAGACCAGCCTAGAATGTGAAATCGCTTTCTGACTTTAATTCTGGGGATACGGTGGTGTATGCAGACTCTCTTTCTGGTTACAGGGATTAAAATCTGTTAAGAGTAACCGCCCACGATAAAATCTGACATAAGAACATCAGGGCTCATGCTCCAGTTCTGTCACATATCAGCAAAACCCTTCTCTAACCGGCATGGATATTTCATGATAGCAGCGTTCATGCCGTGAGCCAAACTTCCACAGCGGCCACCCTTGTCCAGGTTGCTAAGGGAAGCTGAGGACTGGAGTAAAGTAATTCTCAATCGATAACAACATGTGATAGTCTCAGCCGCAAAAATGGTTTCAATCCTAACAACAAGAATTCTGAGTAAGTAATCTTCTGGACAAAGTAAGAGTTTTTGTCCAGATTATAGCCATTCCATTCTGATCGCTATTTAATTTGCATTCCACGCAGCACTTGAGTAAACACTGGTGCATTTTCTCTCATTCTATTTATTCGCCACTGGAATGTGTCCCTCTGTAGTGCCTTCCTTCTCCACCAGTAGGTAGGCTTCCACAGGGGAGGCCAAACAGCCCAACAGGCATGTACACAGGATGCACCTGTGGGTGCTGCAGAGCGGATTTCAGATGAAAGTGCCCCAGGAATTAGACATGAGACTAAACTTGGAGAGTCTCGAAAGGCAGGGAAAAGGAACCATATGGTTCTCATCCACTGAAAGGATCACATATGATTTCACAGGGAAACAAATGGTTTAGTTTTAAATCTTGGGCTTTAGTCTTAACTCT